TATATATATATAAACAAGAAAAAAGGTCTGGTAACAACATGGTGAAAAAGGCAAATCATGTTAGAAATAAACACGACAATTTTTATTTTTACAACACCCGTTAGTTATAAGTTATTATTAAAATAAAATGCATTAATATTTACCATTTTACTAATTATTTACTATCTGATATACCCTCAGTTTGGCAGCCTTTTTGCCATAAGAGGGGAGGGGTTACCACCAAAATGTAGTTGAATATTTCTATTAGGATCTAAAATAAATTAACCGCCTCAAATTAAAATTTGAATCCAACCTTAATTAAAAAAAACATGAGCCTTTTATTTTAAGATTCAAAAAAACACATTTTCTTCCTCTTCAATGCCTTTTTTAATGATATAAATGCAATAAAACAGGAGGTTATGCAACATACTCAAAAATACATTTATAACAAGAAAATTGTGGAATTTCCAAATGTTCAAAATGCAATCATGGGTTTGCTGCCTGTCAGAATATATTTAGTTGTATTCGCAGGTCGTCCTGCTCCCACTGACTGAACTAAAAGTTAAATTTAGTTTCCATCCATCAGTTTTCTTTACCGGCTTTTCCTTTCTGGGTCGCAGGGAGCTGGTGTCTATCTCCAGTAGTCACTGTTCAAGAGGCGGGGTTCACCCTGGACAAGTCTCCAGTCTGTCACAGGGGCATTATCATTCAGCCAAGCTGAAATAATTAAAGCCTGAGGGTGCTTTTAAAGTCTTTTCACCTCTTCCAAATTGAAATGAAGTGAATTAACAAAAGATGAGACGGGCGAAGAAAAGAGGTCAGAGGAGATGAGGGTGATAGGAGCCCTTCTGCAGACCAAATGGGTCATCCCATTTCATCAATCATTGCTTAGGAAAAGAGCTAAATATAGACGGCAACTTTGGTTTAACTCGCGGAATCGGTGGTCGTTATCTGCCCGTCATGTGCAGAGCCATGTGCAGGAGGAGCTGATCTGCCTGCCTGATGATGGTCGGCACATCTGGGAGCGCCGCTCACCGTTTCTGAGTCAGCTTCTCTGCTCGCCCCGGGCCGTGGCGTGCACACAGATAGGCTTTTTACCCAGGTCTCTTTTTAAACACGAGAGGGTCACTGACGAGAAAATAATATTAATAATAATGATGATAAAAAATAACCAGAGCTGTAAAGTAACTAAGTACAAATACTTTGTTACTGTACTGAATTGTAGATTTTTGGGTATTAGTACTTTACTTGAGTAATTATTTTTCAGCCTTCTTTTTACTTCTACTTCTTACATTTTCACACAGTTATCTGTACTTTCTACTCCTTACATTTTTAAAAAGGCAAGAGTAGAAAGTCGTTACTTTTATTTAATTTTTGCTTGTTTTCGTTCCAGCTTATTATAAAAAAATAAATACTCTCCATATAAACTGTGCCTCCTAGATAGTGAATTTAATTGTAGTTTAATGAGAAGTATAAATATAAAAAATTCTGGTACTGTATTACTTTCTACACAAATCATGTCACACTCCAGCAGGACATAATCATTAATTGTAAGAAGTATTTGTATTTCATGAATTATATTATTGCATTTGGTTGCAGCCCTCAGATTTTTATTTTGGGGAAAATGTTTGTGCAGCCTTGATATATGTATATAATCTGAAACAGCTGGACTAGTGCATCCTAAATTTAACATAAATTCATTATTTTAATGCGACAGTCATTTCTGCATTGTGTTGGGGAGGTCACCTCCTAATACATGTCATTACAGAAAATCTTACAGCTCATTTTAAATTAATATTTTAAGACTTTTACTCAAGTAAGATTCCTAAAGGAGACTTTAACTTTTACCAAAGTAATTTTTTGGCAAGATACTTYTACCTATACACAAGTATCGCTTTGTGGTACTTTATATAACACTGAAAAAAACATGTTCAAGATATAAATTTGCCCACCGCCTTTCACGTCAGAATTTTAAACTGAAACCAAATCCTGTAAACGAAGTCCTGAATGTTGTGCGAAACGCTGAGATCTTCASGATGTGTTGGCGCTCAGAGGAGATGTTAAGGATGACTCTCAGCCTCTGCGGCACAAATTTAAACTCTTTTTCATGTTGATTAACTGTGGCGGTTTAAACTGGATTGTAGAGGTACAGCCCATCATATCTTTTTGCAAGTTTCACCTCTTTATAATATATTTTGCTAACACAACAGACAAGTGAACATACATAGACAGACATGGATAAAAAAAAAACATTATTGCCTTTTCATCTTGGGCGGCAGGCTATAAGGAGAAAAAAATCCAGCTTGTGATGTACGAAGATGTTCTCTTGCTGAGCATAGWGGTATTTCCTCAGCTACAGAGCAGCAGAATGATAGTCTGTAACTTATTTATGACATAAATATTTCTTATTTATGCTGGATGTGACTGTATGTATTTATTGCACTGACAGTTTAAATGATGACTTCAGAAATTATTGGTGAATGATTCCTAAAGAGGTGTCTTCTGATAATTATTGCTGGATGTTGGGAAAAGGAGAGAAAGCTGAGAAGAGAAGACAGTGAAAACCCATAAATAGAGCTTCTTTTCCTGACTACATGTGCCAGAGCATAAATCATTCATCTGGGGGAAAACCACTGCGTTCTGTGCTCCGAGATAAAAAAAAAAACTGGGACAGCCTGATATAAACTTGACTATAGAATCACGCATTCAACAACTGCTTTTTTCCTCTTTCTTTCTGTGTTTCCATTGCAGATGTTCATCCAGACCACCACTCTGACCGTCTCCATGAGCCTGAGCGCCACCGTGTCCCTGGGCATGCTCTACATCCCCAAGGTCTACGTCATTGTCTTCCACCCGGAGCAGAACGTCCAGAAGAGAAAGCGCAGCTTCAAAGCAGTGGTGCAGGCGGCCACCGTGTCCACACGCCTGTCCCAGAAGTCCAGTGACAGYCAGAACGGAGAGTCCAAGGCGGAGGTCGACCGGTCTAAGTGACGGGATGCAAAAAAATGAGCGAGAAATCAGCGTTTGACTTTAAAGTTTCTAACCTCAAATTACAGCTGAAACACCAGCATGTACAGGGGTGGATGAGGCTGGCGTTCACTTATTTAAATCTTCTCAACAGGACTTTGTAACACACACATACACGGGGACTGCAATAAGTGAGCTGAGCCATTTTGAATAAAAAGAAGCTTCTTCTTCTTTTTTAGTAACATCCACATAGACACCTCAAGTCAACCGAGACGTACTGCTAGTTTTTACTTTCCTTTTTTCAGTGAAGTTTAATTGGTGACCCTTGCCCTTCAGGAAGTTGTACAGGGGTTAGACAATGAAACAGAAACACCTGGTTTTAGACCATAACATCCCTTTCYGACAGCTTCCTGTTGCGTCCACAGTTAATCCTGTTGGATGTGGTTSYTCCTTCTTGGTGGTATGCTGACATTACCCTGTCTACTGTGGCTCTTGATACATCGCAAAGACTTGCTGTCTTGGTCACAGATGCTCCAGCAAGACGCGCATTAACAATTTGTCCTGTTTTGAACTCTGGTATGTCACCATAATGTTGTGTGCATTGCAATATTTTGAGTAAAACTGTGCTCTTACCCTGCTAARTGAAKCTTCACACTCTGCTCTTACTGGWGCAATGTGCAATTAATGAAGATTGGCCACCAGACTGGTCCAATTTAGCCATGAAACCTCCCACACTAAAATGACAGCTGTTTCACTTTCATTGTCAAACCTCTGTACATACTGCTGGAATCCCCTATGAAACACTGCTGCACCGCATGGGTTCTGTGTTTATTTGCACACAGGAATGGTTTAAATATATATGTAGAAACATTTTTTTCTCTTCGTTGCACAAGAAAGATGTAGATTTTTAAAATGTACCGACATGTCTAATCCCAAACTCAAYTCTATCCGGTCATTGATGCCCCGTCGTATTTACAACTGGAATTCTGAAAACGTTGTAAACAAAAACGGAATGTGTCACAAACCCACATTTTATTCACAGTGGAACATTGTACGCATATCAAAGGTTTTAGACCAGGGGTCTGCAACCTGCCACAGTGTTCCTGTCAGTTTGTTTGCAATAACACAAGGTTGATTAGATCATGCTAGTAGCCTGTTTTCCACTTCAAAAATACAACTTCCAACCTCACTGTWTGATCTATCTCTCATATCTATCAGGATTTTTTTAGTTTTTTACTACCCTTTAAGACAGGTTGCTGAGAAGACACAATCCTGTATATTTTTAGTTTGTATGAAATTTGGAACACTATTTATATTTGTACTTGTATACCTGAATATGCCTGAGTACACAGGTCCTTCTCAAGAAATTAGCATATTGTGATAAACGTACTGATAAACATTAAACTTTCATATATTTTAGATTCATTGCACACCAACTGAAGCAGTTCAAGCCTTTTATTGTTTTAATTTTGATGATTTTGGCAAAAAAGTAAAGAAAAAACAACAATCCCTATCTCAAAAAATTAGCATATCATGAAAAGGTTCTCTAAACAACTTATTAACCTAATAATCTGAATCAACAAATTAACTCTAAACACCTGCAAAAGATTCCTGAGGCTTTTAAAATCTCCCAGCCTGGTTCATTACTCAAAACCACAATCATGGGTAAGACTGCTGACCTGACTGCTGTCCAGAAGACCATCACTGACACCCTCAAGCAAGAGGGTAAGACACAGAAAGACATTTCTGAACGAATAGGCTGTTCCCAGAGTGCTGTATCAAGGCACCTCAGTGGGAAGTCTGTGGGAAGGAAAAAGTGTGGCAGAAAACGCTGCACAACGAGAAGAGGTGACAGTTAGTGATGGTCTGGGGTGCCATGTCAGCTGCTGGTGTTGGTCTGTGTTTTATCAAGGGCAGGGTCAATGCAGCTATCAGGAGATTTTGGAGCACTTCATGCTTCCATCTGCTGAAAAGCTTTATGGAGATGAAGATTTCATTTTTCAGTATGAACTGGCACCTGCTCACAGTGCCAAAACCACTGGTAAATTGTTTACTGACCATGGTATTACTGGGCTCACTTTTGGCCTGCCAACTCTCCTGACCTGAACCCCAGAGAGAATCTCTGGGATATTGTGAAGAGAAAGTTGAAAGACACAAGACCCAACACTCTGGATGAGCTTAAGACACAAGAACCAACACTCTGGATGAGCTTAAGGCCGCTATCGAAGCATCCTGGGCCTCCATAACACCTCAGCAGTGCCACAGGCTGATTGTTATTTCTGCTAAAGGATTCCCCACCAAGTAGTGAGTGCATAACTGAACATAATTATTTGAAGATTGACTTTTTTGTATTAAAAACACTTTTCTTTTACTGGTCGGATGAAATATGCTAATTTTTTGAGATAGGGGTTGTTGTTTTTTCTTTACTTTTTTTTTGCCAAAATCATCAATATTAAAACAATAAAAGGCTTGAACTACTTCAGTTGGTGTGTAATGAATCTAAAAATATATGAAAGTTTAATGTTTATCAGTACATTACAGAAAATAATTAACTTTATCACAATATGTTAATTTTTTAGAAGGACCTGTATATGCTCCTTTCTTTTGTTATAAAGTTTGAAAATAACAATAAACGTAAGAAATTACTATAAATTTTAGTTTTGTATCACCCCCATTGGTCTGAAAAGCCCCCCTTTCAACAAACTCAAAGTGGCCCACGGGCCACCAGTTGATAATCACAGTTGTAAGATGTTTCACAGCTCTGGACACATTTTATTATTGTAAAGGTTTCAGACCTCTGTTATGGACCAGAAACATGACTGTAAGGTTAATTTGTAACCCTAAATTGTCCCTAGGTGGGAGTGAGTGAATGGTTGTTTGTCTCGTTTGTGTCTCTGTGATGGACTTGCGACCTGTCCAGGGTGTACCCCGCCCCTCGCACTGTGACTGTTGAATATGAATAGTGACCGCCGTGACCCTGAACGGAAGAAGTGGGTTAAGATAATTAAAAGTCAAAAGACTTTTGGATAGATAAAACTAAACAAAAAAATTACCAGTTTTGTTTTATAAAAAAAATCAGGTTGTTCTGAATTTGATGGCAGCAACACACCTCAAAAATGTTGGGACAAAGCTGACAAAAGACTAACAGTAAGTGGTCTTTATAAGAAACAGCTGAGGAGCATTTTGCAAGTAATTATGTTAATTGGCAACAGGTTGATGTGAAGATGGGTCATTTTAGAGAGGCTGAATGTCTCAGAAATAAAGATGTGCAGAAGGTTCACTAGTCTGTACAAAAACTGTCTAAAATAGTTGAACTATTTCTGAATGAAGTTTTCAATGAAAAAAAAAGGGGAAGACAATGAATGTCCCATCATCTAATATCATCAGAGGATTTTATGAATCTGGAACAAATCTGCACTCAAAAGACAAGACTGAAAGTCAACAACCGATGCTGGTGATCTTTGGGTCTTTTGGAACTGCTGCAATGAAAACAGGTCTGACTCTGTTGTGGACATGACTCCATGGACTCAGGAACACTTTCAAAAGTTACTGTCTAATAAAAGCCCTGTCCCACTATAATGTTTTAGACAACTCATGCAATTTTTGTCCAACAACGATGATGTCTACACTAAAGATGGAACAAAAAAATCTACTGGAAGTCTATTTTGGKTGCATAAATACTTTAATGCTAACAAGCTGAAAAAAAGTAATTTTAGTCTTTCACAAGTCAGCACAAATAGTATAAAACCTTTTAGTGTGAGAAGGCCTTAAATCCTTCTTTTTCACATTTAAATCCTTCAGTTTGGGTCTATATAAAGTGAAACTGCAATGGTTTGGTCTGAATTCCTCCTTTTGGTAACTCCACAAGACCCTCTTTCACTCCTTTTCTGAGGTGTGTCTCAGATCAACTCGTTTTGAAGCTGTCTCGTTAAATCCAAACGAATTGTTTCAAACCACTCCCCCCTCCAGCTTCCAGAGTGGATCGTTCTAGCTAGATAGAGGGGGTCTATTTAGCAGCAGAAACTTTTAATTTACAAATTAATTAAAAGATGTCAACAACAGAAGACGACCATCCAGTCTGATATGTTGGAACCAGAGTCTGACCCAGAACCAGAGGAGAATGAAGACCATCAAATTGTAGTTAAGTCCAGACTTTATTTGGCAGTTCTGTGACATAATAGTTCAGAAAACATCAAAGAAAATAGAGAAAACTAAATGGGTTGAAAAATATGATCCAAACAGAAAATAAAAATATCTATGGAGAGACTAAACAAATCTTTTCTGCCTCCTAAAGACTCCAAGTCCACAACAAAATGCATTTAACGGCTGAAAATGTAGATTTTGCATATGTCCCCTTTAATATGATTCACTGTGCCATGCAGAAACTCTTTTTAAGGCTTCACATATTTCAGCAAGACAAAGCTAAACATCATAACAGAGTGACTTTATAAGTAGAAAAGTCTGACGTCTAAACTGACCTGCCTGAATTCCTGGAAGAATCCAGCAAAGACCCGGAACTGTTGAACAGCTTGACCTTGTTTGAGACTGATATACTAAGCAAGAGGACAACATTATTTGTCTTGTTGGCCTGGAATTTTTTTTAATTTCAAGAAATCTTATAAAGTGATGTTGCCTGATTTAATCGGCAAATTATTTAACTTCATTTGAGTCTGAATCTTCTCTAAATAGGTAAAATTATCTGCCAATGGAATCAGCCAACTGCAAGTCTAAAAAAAGGGGAAATTTCCAGGCTAACACGAGAGTCCAACACATTCTGCTTTCGCCTATATCAGCCTCAAAACAATAAAAAAACAACTTTTGGCTGGATAGATTAAAAGACTTGGTTAGAACAGACTGTTTAAAGAAGATGGGATGATTTAGAGGTAAATATGGACCTGCCTAAACTATTTTGAGGTGTTGATGCTGTCAAATTCAAGATTACAGTTGTTTTCATTTGTACAATTCCTTAACCACTTGACATGTTTCATTGTTAATAAAATATGGGTTTATAAGATCTGCAAATCATTGCGTCCAGTTTACATTTTATTTTTCAGAATTGGGGCCATGTTTCCAGCTGATGATGACACAAGTTGGTTCCTTATTGTGCAAATGTAATTTAGGGGCACKAACAGGAAACAAGTGATTGTGAACAGGATGTTTCTCCTCTACCTGGTACCTCAGCTTCTCTATGGTGTAAAACAATGTTTGGCATTTCCCCATATTGTTAGACAAAATATACAGCATTCTGTGGAAAGGTCAGGTTATATGGCTACATAAGAACCCAAACCAGCTTCAGTATTCAGTTTAGTGCTAAAACTCCACCATAATAAAAACCTAACAGTAAAAAAAAATAAAGTAACAAAAATACTTTATTAGTGTAATTTCTGATGCTGCTCAACTGCAGCTTAATTTGTACTATTTTATTAATTTCTTCTGTACTGGTGCATCCTTATTTGTTTCAGATGTTTTTCTCTAGTTTGTGCTGCCCCCTGCAGGTGAACACAGCTCAGTGACATCTTGCTCAGACAAATACTGTAAATATGTTGACTCCACAACAAAACTTTAATAAGAAAAATAGTTTATTTTGTTGAATTTCAACTGTCATGACAATTTAAATTAAAAATGCCTAAACCATCTTCACTACAGGCTATAGTGGGAACATCTACAATCTGTAAATGTATCTGACATAATTTAAAGAAGCGCAGCTGAAAGTTTTACAAATTAATTCCTTCCACACACACAGAAACACAAGAAATTGGTCACATCACAAAWCAGTTCATGTCAACACAAAAATGCATGTACATCAGTCGCCGCTTAAAAAGAATAGAAAACAGGAAAAATCCAGCATATTTTTTAGCAGCTGCTGTTTTTAAAGAAAAAGGGTCAAAGTTCTGTTTGGGCCCGCTGCCAGSGTGGTTCTGTCACACAGCGGTATCCAGGTGCTTCTTCACACACACTACCGTCACCTCCATCTTTCACTGGAGGAAGCCATCCAGGGTCAAACAGGGGGCAGCCTTGGGGGGCGGCCGGGTCACCTTTTTCCTTTTCGTTTTCATCAGGGGCCGAATCTCGGACAGGGGAGACTGAGGGAGGGGCTGAGTTAAAGAATAATACAGTCCAGTTTATAATGAGCCTCAATTCATAAATATTCTACATAGAGAAAAAACTATTTATTTTCATTTTGATCTTAAACTGCTGTAACTTGTTGGTTGAACCCAAAATGAAATCCTGCAGGTTTGTAATAACTTACCGAGTGAAAAAAGAACATATTTAGTCCTGCTTCTATCTAAATCAGGGGTGCCCAAATATTTTCTCCGAGAGGGCCAAAATGAAAATCTATCCATGGCTGTGGCCCAAATGCAGTAATATAATACATGAAAAACAAATACTTTTAAGTAAAGTCCTTTATTTTTAACGATTAAACTGTGCAATGGCCCTCTTTTGTTTTAGTCTGTGCACTTGGAGAAAGTTTGCCATACGCTCAAGTAGCAAAGGCTCATGGGACATTTTATGAATAGATAAAATATGAGTTTTTGTGGCCTTATAAAGTGTGCAAATCTACATGTGGGGTTGAATCTGATCTAAATATTTCTTGTTGCCATTTCATGTTTAATCCTAATAAATCAAAGATAAAGTCAGCACCATGGCTGAAAACTACCTTCACTACAGCCCTTTTATAGTKATTTGACCAATGGAAARACTGTGTTTCTACCTATAGGATAACAGCTTACAACCTTGTAACTTTGGCAACTGTTGGTGGGCCAAATCAAATGGCTTGGCGGGCCAAATTTGGCCCGCGGACCCCACTTTGGGCTCCTCTGATCTAAATGAAATGTTTTACAAATGTTGAGTGGAAAGTTTAAGAAACGTGTGCTTCAGGGTACAAATGTCTTATCATACAAAGACTCACAAGAGAAAGTTTTCCTCCTTTTAAATACCTTGTACCTGATGTTTTAACCATAAAATGTTTCAATGAATAAAAGACGTCAAATGATAAAGTATAAAGTATAGCACTTCCAGTGCAGCCTGGGGTCAAATCTAGCAGGAATAGAATATTTCTGCAGAAATAACTGTTGTGAAATTTAAAGTTTAAATAATAGCGCTTTGAAAAGGAGCACTTTGGAAATATAAAGGCTGGAGTTGTTTTGAGACGGCAGAGATCTTGTTTACCAGACATTATGTCACATGGTCAGAATAAAAACTCAAACATCAAAGTAACACAAGAACACTGTCAAACTGAAGGTCCGCAGGTTTTTGTGTGGCCTGCTAATATGGGTTAAACCACATCTCCTACAATGCATATTGATTACAATTCCCTGTTGGAAAGTGGAAGAGTTCAAAATTCAAGACTAACCACAACTCAACATGGAGTAAAACTCTCTTACTTTTACTGTTAGTAGTATTTCTGTATTATTTATTTCACATTTAGTCAGTTGTATTCGTATTATTTTTGTGTCTTTATAAAAGGGCATGTTAAAACCCTGTTTCTATGCAGGAAATACCATGTCGAGCTCAGTTATTGTTTGTTACCAGGGCTCGGCTGTACTGTAGCAATAAGCTGAGGAACGTGACATTTCATGTTTAGTTGAAGTTAAACATGAAACAGACAAATTAACTACAACTGGTCCGTTGAGGACCACCATAATGCTCATGTGGCCCTTGGTGAAAGTGTGTTTGCCATTCCAGAAAAAAAGGATACAGGTTGGATGAATTTAGTTCTTCCTCCTAATCCATCATAACCACTTCTAACCTGAAAAACAGACAAAACAAATAAAAAACAAAAAAAAAAAATAAGGCATTTTATCCAAAACTTTAAAGAAGATACATACGATTCCAGCCTTCCTCTGAGGGTCCAACATGCTGCCTAAAGTCTTCTTCCTAAAAAGTAGAGAGTTCCTCATCATCGGACTCAGGAACGAATCTTTATCTTGAGGCTGAGGAATAAACGCACACATACAAACACTCTGTGTTGATTTTCACCAAACAAATAGACGTATTTTGCTGAGAGACAATTAAGAACGTACCCTGCTCTCTGGTGGAGACTTCTCACTATGTTTGGACACACATCGTCTAATTAAGAAAGAAAAAAAATCTCTAAACTATTGTTCACAATAAAACACAAGTTAAACAAATTTCAAAATAGACCATTTTTTGAGCAAGAACCTGTCATACTGAGCAGTAAAACTCACACAGGGGGGTCTAGACGCATCTTCTTGGATGGGACCTCTGTTGGTCTTTTGGTCAGGTCGTCTGGAGTTGTGATGTCATAGGTCATATTGAGATCAATGTCATCATTACCTGGAGACTGGTGGAGGCGTGGTGGCTTCAGCTCCACTGGAGCTGGGCTGTAAAGAGAAGCCGTCAGTAAATGACCGACTGTTTTCAGGAAAGTTGCTCCAAACACAGATTTAGAAAAAGCTGCAGGAGGAGACCTTTCAAAGACGAGCCGACTGAGAGCTTCGTTTGTTCGCGTTGGCGTGCTCAAAGTCTTCTGAAGAAACTCCACCTTCTTRTTCAGACTCTGCGGACAAGCAAAGCTAAAGGTTGTTGCAAATATGTAATTATATATAAAAAAAGTCCAAGAGCTCTTTGTTCAATGTGTTCTTACTGAGATCTCTTTGTCAGCACTGGCCAGATCTTTCTGCAAGGACTTCATGTCGTCTTTGGTCTGATTCACCTCACACGCAGCTTTTTGCAACTAAAAACAAAACAAACAGCAACTTTATCCAACATTTCAGCAGTAAAGGTTTTGGGTGTGGTGCCAGACTGAGATGACGATACCTTGTTGTTAGAAGAGAGAACTTCTCTCTTCAGTTTCTCACACAGCTCATTGGAAGACTTGAGGTTTCCTTTGAGATTATCATACTCTCTGTGAAAGAAGGAGAGCTGATTAAACACTTTAAATAAAAGAAAATCAAACACCCTTGGTGTGGGGATACTCAGAAGCCCCCCGCTGTGTGCCTTGGTGTTCTCCTCGATGAATTCGAGGGTTTCCTCTCTGTGGCTTTGTGCTGCAGYAGGGAAGGTTCTGACTGTTTGTGTTTAAGCACCAAACATCWGATCAAATTGCCCGGCCTTTTTCGAGTCTTTGGATGGTGTCCTGGAAGAGCTTCCATCTGGGGATTACTTTGTTCTACTGGGTGACTTCAATGCCCGTGTGATGGAGTTATCTGGAAGGAGGTGATTGGGAGGAACGACCTCCCTGATTTGAACCCGAATGATGTGTTGTTATTGGATCTCAGTGCTAAGCATGGGTTGTCCATAACGAACACCATGTTTGGGCAGAGACTGTTCCATCAGTGTACTTGGTACCAGGCCACCTCAGGCCAGAGGTCAATGATTGATTTTATAGTCATGTTGCCTGACCTGCYYTTCTGTGTTTTGGACACMTGGGTGAAGAGAGCTGTCAGCTGATCACCACCTGGTGGTGAGTTGGGTCTGGCGGTGGGGGAGGCTGCTGGACAAACCTGGTAAACCAAAACGCATAGTGAGCGTGAACTGGAAACGTCTGGCGGAGCCCCCGGTCCGTGCGATCTTCAGTTCTCACCTCTGGGAGCGTTTTTCACATGTCCTGGGGGAGGTCGCAGACATGGAAATTTGAATAGGACATATTTGGGGRCTCTATTGCAGATGTAGCTTCCAGGGGACCTGCTGATGGACACCAGCTGTGACGGAGGCCGTCAGGTCGAAGGAGGAGGCCTTCAGGACTCGACTTTCTGGAAGGACTCCTGAAGCAGCTGATGGATATGGGATGACCAGAAGGGCCAGAGCTGGTTGTAGATGCAAAGACTCAGGCATGGGAGGAACCAGGTAAATAGTGCTTTATAAGCTTTTAATCTGTCTGGTGCAGTATCTTGTTCAGGCTTCTTATTCATGTTATGACATATACTTAAAGTGCCTGTGACATGCATATTCTTCAAATACAAAAAGTCAAAGAAAACATCTTTATATTTAAGAAAGTTGGAATACTATGCACAATTTAACCCATTTTGTCCCATAACTGGCATATTTTCTTTTGAACTTGGCTCAGCCAAAGTGAAACAGGAAGTGACATCAAAGGGGAACTCTTTAACAAAGAAAACTCTCTTGTTTGTCAAACTTATTTGAACTCTGACTCTTCTTCATCTCTGATAGAGACTCAAAATAATCTTAAGAAACATCAGATTCTTCTCTACAGTCTGGGTTGTTGGCAGCTATAGAAACGCTCTGTTCACATGCTGACATTCCCCTTTGACATCACTTCCTGTTACTTCACAAGCAAATATCTCAACAACCATTCATCTCAGCGACATGAAATTTCTTTTGCAATATTTTATCAATGCCCTCTTTCAAAAAATGCATTCATATGTATTACAAAAATTTTGACGTCACGGGCACTTTAAGTGTGCATAAAAGTGGACAAAAGTCAGGACAGCTAAACCTGAGTTACAGGAGAGATAAAAAAGCCCAACTATGAAGATGGTTTTAAATACTACATTTAAAAAAAAATACTCGTGTAAGAATAAAGCAAAAGGAATGATCCAACAACAACTCCAAACTCTTACTTTTTGAGAGAGATACAGTAAATGGAGAGCTGCTCCACAGCTGCRGAGCTGACGCCCATATCTGTGATCATGGACTCCACCTCTGCTCTCTGGCCCTGCAACAGAACGTCCAGACTGGAAACAAAAAAATCATTGCAAAATCAGTACGCAACTATAGTATAAATACARTCTTTGATAAGACATAAATTTCATAAAATAATTTCATGTCTCAAAATAAAAGAAATTATTTTATGTTTCCACAAGATTTGTAGGAAACAATTTTGATAACAAAATGTCCTGATTAGAAACACAATGAACTGGCCAGCAGATACCTTTCAAAAGTTTTCATTTTGACCTTCAGTCTGCGGACCTCCTCCTTTGCAGCCTGAACAGCATTCTGTTGTGTCTCCAAATACGTCATCTGTTTCTGTGACACATAAACACGAGTTTATTTCCAGCTGCAACAAAAGTCTGTGGAGATAATGGTCTAAACCTTAATCCTGGTCCTCAGGGGCCACTATTCTGTATATTTTAGTTTTTCCCCTGCTCTTCAAATTCTTCTGACACCTGTCAATCARTCAACCCTTCACATCGGGTGTGATGAAGTGAAAAAACCTTTAAACTTGAAAGACAGCGGCCCTCGAGGACCAGGAMGTCTAAATCATAAGAAAGCTCACTCTGAGAGCAGCACACAGCATCTCTTTATCCATGATCTCTTTTCGCGTACTCTCCAGGTCTCTTTTTTGCTTGTCCACGGTGTTCTTTAAACTGTCCATCACTTTCTGTTTGTCTCGCCAGTCCCGCTCTTAAAAAGTAAATAAATAGATCAAACATATGATGAACTGGCAATACAATATCCACTCAACAATAGGGTTGGGCATAATCGTATTGTGTGCAATTAATAGTCAGAAAAACATTAATCGATTAATTTTTGGCACTTGACAATTAATACGATTAATGCCACCTGGCAGACTAACTGCTTGGTGCTCCTCTCTGATTRAAATATGACCAACATTAAAAAAAAATTGTGTAATTTATTTATCTATCAACACAATTTAAAGTTTGATGTATAGCCTGAAGTCTGTAATTTTGACACAATTTGGAACAGATTTTTACGAAGAGCCAATTTTCTCCCTATAAATTGGTCATGTGACTAGGACATAAGGGTGTCCAGGGACTCTGGGGGATTAATCGTCAAATTAATCATTATCGGCTAAATACCACAATTAATCGTGATWAATTTTTTTGCCAATATTGCCCAACCCTACTCAACAAAAGAATCAGCCTGAGATGGGTTTTCACCTCTGGAGCTTAGAAGTGCCTTCATCTGATTGAGTTCATTCTGGGAAAAGGAAATAAAAATCGATCATGACAAACAATCCRAAAGTAACACACCACATGTGGAATCTGTTAAGCTCCGGTAAGGGTTACAAACGTTACAACTTCCTTTCAGACTTTAATGTAATGTTTTGTACCTGCAAYCTCTCAGGGTTTGCTGTGCCCTCCTCCTCTCCACCAATGTCGAAGAACAGTTTGCTGATGATGTGCCTGGTGCTGACCTGTTGGCATAGCACAAATAAAGTTTATTTCTTATTCTTTGTGGACACTTGGCCCAGTAGGCGTAAACCTCGTATTTACTTTAAAGGTTTACCTGTTTCCTACACTGTGGACAGGTTTTTGTTGGGGCTGTCTGGAACCACTGAAGGAGACTGGGAGACATTCATAAAAATACAAATAAAAAAACATGCAAACTGATTAAAACAGCTGATATAAACTCAGATAATTACTGTTACAACTTTTATGAAATTACCATTCATAGTGAAACGTGTGTCCGCAGTGAATGGCAGCAACATCTTTGRAATGATCAAAAAAATCCGAGCAGATTGTGCAGTATGCCCGGATAGGCATCTTTATTCCACAATGCTCAACCTGTTACAAATAAACCAAACACTTACAAGAAAGAAAACATTCCCCTACAAACARCAGGCTGCATCTTCGCTCTGACTTGTTTCATAACTACACGATACCTAAGTAGCAACCTAGCTAACAATAATATGCCAGCTTTTATACTTACCAAACGAAGATGCTAAAGATAAACCCTTCGTAGTAACAACAAGCATCCCTTATCTTACCTGTATCGTTTTACTTTACCTCCCATTAAAAAGTATTTAGAGGAAAGACACTAGCTAGCTAAATGGAATACAAAGCTAACTCCTTCCCTTTGCCCCCGCTGAATGTTCAAACGCAAGCTCCGCCTCTAAACGTTGCGTTCAATGTCCTTCTCAATTGTAGTAAATTTAAACACTTTTCAAATTAATTCTAATTTTAAAAAAATGTGTCTAAAAGATTTCTAAGTGTCACTGCAAAATTAACCACACAATCGTGAAAGAAGTTCCAATTTTTCAAGTGTTTATTTAATCGTCAATTATTTTACTTTTTTCATCCGTTTTCCAATGATAAAGCAATATTCTAACATGTTGCTCAACATGTTAGAATGCATTTGTGACAAACACGTTTTCCCAAAGATGATATAAATAATCATGTCTACGTGTATTCTGAAAATTATGTTTTTATTGTGAATTAAACGTTGGCTTTTATGTATATATTCAGTTTTATAACATTCAAAGTTCTGTGAATGCACCATGAGGATAAAAATCGTTAAATAATGCGATAGTTCTGATATCGAAAATTAAATGTTTAAAAACACTCAGATTGCTATGGAATTATTATAATTAATATTTACTGGTTTCGATTTTTTTTGTAACATAAACTGGAGCCAAACATTGTTTTACATTTMTGTTTTTCTGAGAAGAACTTCATATCCCACAATTCCTACTTCCGGAATCCAACTGGGCACGTTCCAAACCAGAAGTACTTCTTCTTGTTTGATGTAGCTAGCTTCAGGCGAGTTGTGGAGCACGGTTATTGATACAGATGCCGTGGAAATGAAAGGTAATAAGTTTGGAATTGGTTTAGTGTGTAATGAGAAGTTTTGGGTGGAATGGTGGCAGTAAAACGAGACTTTGTTGCCCAAAAATATTTGAGTTACCTTTACATATTGTTTAATCTGATAAATGAGCTATCTGCTATGTAACAATTAACTTGGCTTCGAAGTTCTCCTAAAATGACTCGCCTCTGCCAGGTTTGAATTAATAAAGGATGTGAGGAAACATACAGTAAAACAGGACACTTGTTTTTGTTCTCTAGTCTAGTTTCGAACCAGCCATGCAGATGGTGTCTTAGTAAAGTCACTTTTAACGAGTTTAAAATCAACTCTTAACACTTTTGGAGCTATTTTAAATCGTGCGGTATGAACAGCTCGTTTGTTAGTTAAAGCCGCAGAAAGTCACGAAGTGGCTGACCTTTGTTCCTGCCAGGTGTGTGCTCCTGCTACAGGCAGCAGTGATGGAGGAAGGAACGCCCCGGGCGGCCGTGTCCTGGCAGAACGGAACCCTGGCTCCTGTGGATCGGCTCCGCACGGAGAGGGCGGACAGCCCCACACCGGGTCTGGTGGAGGGAACTGAACCAGGTGGGATCAGCTCTGCCTCTTCTTGCTCTTCGTGTTTAAATCAACGAGAACTCAACATACAGTGGGAGTGTGATAAAGTGACTGTATGGTTATCACTTTAATAATGTGCAATCACTCACAAAGACTTGCATGTACTGTCCAACACGAGCTGTTCGCCTTCATTTACCCCACTGCAGAGTCTTAAGGGTGTTTGCAAATAATCCAAATTGTTTATTGGACAGTATAGATAGCATACTACAAAAAATGTCAGTCCACAAAAAATGATCTTTTAATTTACTTTGTCACCAAATGAAACAAAAATAGCTGAAACGTATGATCATTAGCTGTTTTTAGTCAACACTTAATACATATTTATTTGCCTTCCAGCAGCTGGTGATGTTTTTGCTCCTGTTTGTGTGTCTATGTATGTCTGCGTCTTGGGACAAATTCTAATAACAACTGCATAAACTAATCATTAGATATACATCTACAACAGATTACCTTTTAGAGACACGCACAGCACAGTATTTGATGAATATTGGTTGGACCGACTTACGTCTCAACATAAGATGTTCTCATTTTAAAAGTCTGGCGTGAAAGGCTGTGGAAGATGTGCATTCCTCCAAGAAATGTTAGACATTTTAATTAGACTGAATCGGCCATTTGAAAGAGGTCTATGTTTGATGTTGCAAAAAGATAAGGCTGGCTTAAACCGGGTGCTGTGTTTGCTGTGAATAGGCATGATTGTGCACATCCTGTGCTGGTGAAGAAATGCCCAACTTGACACTTCAGTTGTTTTCACACATGAATACAAGAAAAGGTGCAGATGTTGCCTGCATGTGATGATGTGTTCTCAGAACTGGAACATCACCTTCCACACACCTGAGGAAAAGAAAGACAGGCTAGAACAGGATGCAAGTATGTTTGGGTTATTTTGTATATCTTTATTTTTTTTTTTTAGGTAATTTTGGTAACCAGTGTGATGACTGCAAAAAAAAAAAAAAAAAAAAAAAAATCCAGAATACTGTAGATTCTTATTGTCCTCAATCCTTGTAAGACAGGTCTAAATACTGTATACCATTTTAGTAAATGTTCGGGTTTTTTAACCTAGGAACTCAGAGAGACACAGCAAAACCCGGCCGAACATTAAATCAATGACAACAGAGACAAGTGAGATTTTTAAGATTCACTTTGCAAAGGAGAACCCATGCACTTAGCTTTGCTCAGATGAGCTCAGAGAAGTCCAATGAAGTTCNTGCTTTCCTGTTTCTGTAGAAAACACATTTTGTACCAACATTTGTAATGTACTCAAAACTTTATTTGATACACACACAATGAACTTTAATGTAATGTAATAAAGAAAAACCCTTTCAGTAAACAAAGCAGTACTAAAACATTTGTTAAAAATTAATTCAAAAATAAATTGCTGGTTAATCTTATCAATGTTAATTATTATAATAAACGAGCATTTTCGTCTTATCCTGTTGTTCAAAATTGAAGTCATAGTGTTAGTATTTTTTGGGTGCTGCCATGTTTTATCTTTGTAGCCAGAATCTGTCCCATCAACATCCTCKCAGTGCTAACAAGCTGTCAATCACACTGAAACATGACATTTTTTTTAAAATAATCAAATAATTGAAACTAAATGTATTGGAAAAAATACACATGCGAACATAAAACAGCAAGGTAAGAACTACACAGATCAACAAAAATCAACTGCTGAAAAACATATCTGGAGGGATTATTATTATTTATTTTTACTCTGCAAATGTCCCATTTGTTTATGCAGAAGGCCAGGACCTAAAGATTMTACTGCAGACAGCCACCAGGAGGCGCTTGTCCTTTGTAGCTTTACCTGGRTTACCGTTGATGATGAATCTTAAGCGTTTCATCATCACCTGTTTGAATAAATCAAACACTGACATGAGTAACATTGTTATGATTTGTACTTCCAGAGCAGAAATGAGGATGTTTTTGCTTTCTTTCTACCCTTGCAAACTCATCTTCAAACTCATCCCTTTTTTTGTATAACTATGCAGTCTAACCAAAACTGTTTATTTTCTTCATTAAAGGGGACATATCATGTAAAATCCAAAATTTTAGCCCTTAAATACAGTTTTTTGTGTACTTGGAGTRTCTAGGAGTGTCAAAAAGGTTAAGTTYTTAACAAAAACATAACTCTGGRGTAACTCTGCTATTAAAATARAAAAATGGCTGAACGGGCCGGCGTGAACAACTGGGAGTGCGACCTGAAGGCGGGGGTGGGGGGGATGCCTCATTTGTATTTAAAGAGACAGCTCRAAAACGAGRTGCTATCTGATGCATTTCAGAACAGTGTTGAAGAAGCGGCTTGTGAAGCTACAYTAATGAGGAATTCYGAGCAAAGCGTTGCAGTTCRACTTTATATAGACCACAACTGYAGGATTTAAATGTGAAAAGSTAGGACAAATGGGGTCTAATTAGTGTTGGGCACATTGCTAAGCTATTGTCACACCAGGTTTTAGCTCCGTCTCTAAAACTGCCTGAGTAATAGCAGTTTGTATTAYCTAAGATCAGTTTGTTATTGTGGGTTAAGTCCAAAAATGGGTTGATTTAAACCTAATAGTTACTTTCTGAGAGTTCAATCTGTCCAGTGCTTCTTGGGATATGTTGCTAACAGTTCAAACAATGAAATGCATAAAAACATTCACAAACATTTCATCTTTGGCAGTGGGCAATAACAACTGACTTTAGTAGCGCGTCATTAAAACGTTATCTGCTGTCTTTAAACACGTATCTATACTTTATTACAGGTGCAGGTCAGAGGAGTGCCATGTTCGTTCATGCACAGTCCTTTGAAGATCTGACTGCTGAAGCCGAGGACGAGGCCCAGAGAGCGGCTAAACCGGACTGCTCAGAGGGACGTGACGCAGAGGAGTTCAAGGTGCTGGTTGGAGAGAAGAGCTCAGAGAAGCAGCGKAGCGAGGACTTRTTGTCCGAGAGCGGGACCAAAGAGGAGGAGGATGTGTCCAGCGAGGCGTGGCGCAGTCACAGGAAGCACATGTTTGTGTTGAGCAAGGCCGGCAAGCCAATCTACACCCGCTACGGTACGGAGGAGGCTCTGTCCAGCACTATGGGGGTGATGATGGCTCTGGTCTCCTTCGTCGAAGCCGAGAAGAACATCATCCGTTCCATTCACGCAGGTCAGCCTGTACTTTTGGTTGTAATGTTGCTCATAAGTTAAAAATATCGACATCAGATAAAACCAAGATTTGGAAAAGGTTAGGACGTTCTGTYAAATGTTAATAAAAACAATGGGCCTCATGCAAGAACCGTTCGTACGCACAGACTTGTTCTTAAGTTGTGCGTACGAGTGATTTAGGAGAATTTCTGGCATTCATCAATGTTTTCATATTCTAAGATTTTTTTCAGATACGAACAAAATTCACGAGTGGTCCAGACCTGTCGTATATTTTACCAGCAGTCAGTCTGCTGTTATCCGGACGGATTTTCCTCCCTAATAACTTTATATTTCGTTAGTTTGAAGATATTTTGAGTTGAAAATAAATCACACTCCATAATTA